AGCAAGACATCCTCCCGGAAAGGGAGGGGAGTAGTGCAGGGAGTAGTGTAACTGTCAAGAGGAAGGTTAGAGGTTGCGAACGCGCGCCAAGTTCAAATGTGGAGGCGCGCGGAAGAACAGGGAGCCCAGAGGAGGAGCCAGGTCCCAAAGCACGCAGGAGGGGGGAAGAGCTGTCTGGGGATTCCGCGTCAGGGGAATCCAGGAGGGGCGAAACCCCAGGGGGCAGGAAGACCCTGCGGAAAAGGAAAGAAAGGAAGAGGTGGAGCAGCACAAGCCTCTTAAACTGGTGCAGAGGAGGGACTGACTCAGAGGGGACTGCAGCGGTCTAAGCGTAACAGACGTGGGGCTGCGCGCCTCGGCTGTGGAGCGTACAATACACTGCAATAAACATCTTTGTATATAAACTGGACTTGGCGTTGGTCTCTTGTGAGCTGGGACCTGAGGCAGCCCTGACAACGTCTCTTTTCCCTCTGGGACACTTGGCGGGTATGAGATACGTGTTCATTTTTTGATGACTATTCCTTATTTTGCATCAGGTTCCCAGTCTCTGCACTATATGGTGCCCAGCCTTATTTCAAATATGTACCCATTTGCACAGCACCACATCTCCAAAACTGATATTGACTTGGGTAAATGGATAGTATTGGAGGGTGTGCAACAACAGAAAACAGCAAGAGAAAATTGCCTTCCTTGCTTTGGGATCCTACTATTGTCTGAAAGGCAATAAACTTATGTGAGGGGAAGAATAATGGCATGTTTCCAGGACCAAAAGGTACTCAAAGTTACGGAAATGAAAGACCCATATGGAATGTGGCAGAGTCTTAAAGGCACATGTTTTAATCTATATTCAAATTATATTGACCTCCCCTCAAAACCAGTGTACTTACAATATTTTTGTGCCTGTTAGAATGAATACTTCATAATAAGTCTAGCAATTTTATCAACATGAGATAGGCAGGCGTATTTTTTTATCACAAAAGAGTTTTGTGACTTTGTGTACCACCTTTTAAGAAAAAATAAAATGATGGGAGATTACTTCATGGATCAGCGACATGCTTTCAGATTGCACCTTATTGAAATAGGTGGCATTTCATATACAGATGATGCCTGAGTTTTGTTTTTCCTTGTTCATTGTTTTGAACATGCCAGGATTATCATGATGATCTCCTCACCTACTAAGTACAGCAGATTTCTCTTTGGGCAGCAGGAATGAAAACCAAGAAGACTAGGAAGGATCAGCGGCGTAGCGTGGGTTGTCAGCACCCAGGGCAAGGCAGGTAATTTGCGCCCCCTAACCTGTGGATTTGCGCCCCCTAACCCATGGATTTGCCCTAACCCCAGATGTTGCACCCGGTGCGGCCGGCCCCCCCTGCACCCCCCACGCTACGCCACTGGGAAGGATGAACTCATCACAGATGTTATGTACTGAAGTTCTCATCCTGGGCCAGCAGGGGGATACTGTAGATAGTTATGCAAATAAGGTGAAAGTGACGTTCAGTGATTGGATAGTTTTAGAAAATTGTTACAGTTATGTTGTACTGGAGCTCTATATAAGCAGGCTGACTGAACCCTTCAGTTCAGTTCTGTTCTGGCCTGTGAATAAACAAGAGCTGTTTGAAGAATCGCTGTGTCGTCTGATATGTTCACCCACAACTTAACAACAGATATAAAAAAACGGGTTTCATCACCAGATTCTATGGGTACGAGTTACAGTTAAAAGAAGCAAACACTTCCAATTTCAGTAATGAAAACCAACCTAATTATATTTCATAAATTGTTTAAGTCAAAGAAAGGACAAGACTCTTCAAAGAGTGCTTCATGCTTTATACTTGAGAAGGTTGCCACAAAGACTGAGTCTGTGGCATTTGCAATTTCAATTACCTTTGATGATTTAGTAGGCGGCTCTTAATGCAACTGTGTAATTTTCTATGTGTGTGGTGGGAGGGAAACTACACTCCAAATTAAATTGTCATGTATACCTTTTGTTTAGACAAAAAACCAAAAACCTCGCTTAAACTAATTTTAGACAAATCCTGTTTGTTATCGAAAGCTGTGCTTGGGGGGGAAAGAGAGGCAAACATAGTTATTTTTTAATGAAAAATTGATTCCTTGTGGATAGGACCAAAACTGCTAGCTGACAGCTTCCTAAAGGATAAAGAATCACTATGCAGATTTTTTTTGACAAAAATGAGGTGTGCAGAATAGACAAAACTCAGCCTGGGGAACAGTTCTGCTTGAATCAACTCTTCCATTTCTATCTAGCACTGGCATGTGGCCGCCCCCGTGATGTGGCCATCAAGATAAGAAGGGCTCCACACTCCTGCTTTAGGTGACCAAAATCTCAGTTCTGCCGTTTTTGCCAAATGTATACAGTGGTACCTCGGGTTAAGTACGTCATTTGTTCTGGAGGTCCATTCTTAACCTGAAACTGTTCTTAACCTGAAGCACCACTTTAGCTGATGGGGCCTCCTGCTGCTGCCGCCCCACCGGAGCACGATTTCTGTTCTCATCCTGAAGCAAAGTTCTTAACCCGAGGTAATATTTCTGGGTTAGCGGAGTCTGTAACCTGAAGCGTATGTAACCCGAAGTACCACTGTAAATCTAAATCAAACAAGTGTTGGAAATGTGAAGAGAAAGAAGGTTCTTTTTATCATATGTGATGGTCTTGTAGTAAGGTTAAGGAATTGAATAGGATGGTCAAAATAACCTTTGTAAAAAAAAAAAAACAACAACACAGAAACTCTTCCTTTGGGAATTATAGGGATTCAACGACCAAGAATGCTACTCGCCCCAAAACGGAAAGAAGCAGAAGTCCCAGCAAAGAAAGAATGGGTACAAAAACTTATGGAATATGCAAACATGGCGAAACTTACCAGAAGAATAAGAAATCAAGATAGCAAACTTTTCATAAAAGAATGGAAATGGTTTATTGAATATTTACAGATAAATTGCAGACAGATAAAAACATTGGCAGGATTATTGCAATAATCTGCAGTTTTGTAAGAGTATATATTTAAAGTAGATAATTAAATGAGCAAATTAAATGAATTTGGATATGCAGAAGATATTAAAAATAATTTAAGGAATAATAATAATAATAATAATAATAATAATAATAATAATGTTTTATTTATACCCCGCCCATCTGGCTGGGTTTCCCCAGCCACTCTGGGCGGCTTCCAACAAAAGATTAAAAGTACATTAAAACATCAGTCATTAAAAACTTCCCAAAACAGGGCTGCCTTCAGATGTCTTCTAAAAGTCAGATAGTTGTTTATCTCTGACATCTGACGGGGGGGCGCCACTACCAAGAAGGCCCTCTGCCTGGTCTGCCTCTGCAGAAAGGTGGGTGGTGGGGAGGAAGTCAAACTTTGAAATGTGAAAATGGTTGTAAAATTAATGAAATGTATAAACATGAAAAGTAGAAATAAAAACTTAAAAAACCAAACAAAACTCAAAAAACAAAATCTCAGCTCTGGACAATTCCCCCCCCCCCCGCAACACCCACCTTCATTGCAGCGGCACAACCATTAGCACTGGTGCACCTACTGGGTCCACCCCAACCTCTGTGTGCTCAGTGAGAACATGAAACTATTCAACACAGGGAGGCTCCTTCATGCCACCAGGAGTCCCAGTTTTGCAGAGTTTCTGACAACTTGGAGACCATGCATGCTTCTATGTGTCTAGCACCTTACAGCGGGGTGAGGAAGGCAACCAGCAGGTCTGCTGATGCCAGCAAGATCAGCAGAAGTTCTCCCACTCCTTCCTTCCTGCATTCAATAAACATGTTGGGCGAGGAGAAGTACAGCTGCTCATACGCTTTGTCAAACTTAGCTGTGCCCAGGAGCTTGGATTTTGAGATGTCATCATAAAGCAAACCTTTCTGGAAAAGCCATTTCTCATGTTCGCCTCAGACCCACACGCCTAATAAATTCTGCACTGTTCTGTCATTTGATGAAAAACATTACCATATTGAAGCTTGACCTGTTAAGCATATAAGAAGAACAAGCTTCGTGGAGGATGAATGAGCATGGCTTCTACAAAACAAGTTCTGCCTCGTCAATATGTTGGAGTTCTCTCCAAATAACCAGGTCCCAAGCTGCGTGTACCCTCAAGGGAGCAGGTTGCCAACCCCTGTTGAAACCATAAGTGCCCATTGATAAAAACCACCCTGGATTTAACAAAGGAAATGGACTGCGGCTCAGTGGCAAAGTTTGCAGACTGGAGGTTCCAGGTTCAACTGCTAGTGTCTCCACTTGGGGCTGGAAAAACTCCTGCTTGAAACCCACTGCCTGTCTGAGTAGACAGCCCTGAGCTAGATGGATTAAGGGTCTATGATAAGTCAGCTAACTGCTGTTGGGAGATCCCCACCTTCCTTATGTTGGGCTCCTACCTTTCTTCTGAGGAACTCAAGGGAGTATGTCCATGTTTTCAAGGAGGAGGCAAGACAAGGGCTGGGGTACAGCGTATGCTTTTCATGCTGCAGTTCCCAGGTTCAATCCCCAACCCGGGCTGGGAATGTCCCCCCACCTGAAGCCCTGAGCCAGATGGACGAACGGCCTGACTCGGTACAAGGCAGGTACTATCTAGCAGGTAGTCTCCCATCAGGGCACACGCAACACGTACAGACCTACTTAAGCCTAGCCAAAATGCCACATTGCCACAAGTGTGAGGTTACCTCTCTTTCCCCCACACACTTGCGCCCTTATCAGCTAAAAAATAGGCCGAAAATCAACAGGTGAAGTTTCTTCCTCGTTTGGAGAGACAGAGGGAAGCCTTCCCTGTTGCACATCTGCCTGCACTGCGGTTGTTAGAGGCGCACGACCCCCTGCTAGCTACGGCGGCGTTGAATGGCCAGACGGGCTGGACTTGCGCCCTGGGGTAGGAGGATGCGGAGGCGCGGGTGGGTAGGTGGGTTCAGCCACGGAGGGAAGACCAACAGGATCTCCACTGGAGGATCTTCCCCTCGCCCCGGATCATCATCCTTCGCCGCCGCCCCCAAACGCATCGAGGGGGCGCTAGGACCCCGCTGCTGGCAAAGGTGCCTGGGTGCCCACCCATGGCTGGCAGGCAGATGCTGAGCAGACTGCGGCAGCTCCGGGTCGCTGTAAATACCCGAAGCCAGGGAAAGGCGGGCGGACAGGCAGAAGGACGCGACTTGGGGAGGTAGGAAGTCGCTCCAAGACGCAGCCGCGCCCTCGGATGCCCGCGCCGGTGCCGCTGCCTTCCAATGGTAAAGTTTCACTTTTCCTGGATTCCTTCCCCTGTCTGGTCCCTTTTCTTTCTCTCTATCCCCTCCCACATCTCATTCCTTTCTTTCTCTCTCTCCCCCATCCCCAATTCTCTCCCTCTCCTCGCTTGGATTTACTTGCTCGCATTCCTCTGTGCGCATCTGGGACTCTCAAGTTTGGTTCCGAGCGAGGCGCGTCGCGCGGCGAGGTCTCTCCCAGGTACGCGCGTCCTCCCCTCCGTCGTGCGCCCATGTGCGCGCCAGTCCCAAAACCAGCTCGCGCTCTGCCAGACCCCCGACGCGACCTCCTGCAGCCCAAGATGAGCTGTGTGGCACCCTCGAGGGTGACACAAGTCGAGTGACGTGAGAGCTATGGGGCATATCGTGAGCTTTTGCCTTCTGTTGATTTGAGCCATTGGTCCGTTGTCTGTTCCAGCTGCCTCCAGCCTTTTCAGACCCAACTTGAACCTAGACATACTAAGTGGGTTTTTTTCTGGGGGACGCAGTGGTACGCATACCCCTAAACATTTTGCGAATCTAAGTTTGGCCTCACTGAGGGGCAGTATTTCGATATGAGTAGGAAAATGAGAGTACCCTTAAACGTTTTTTTAGGAAAGGGGGGGGGACCGATTCCTTTCATTCTCTCTCCCAGCCTCTCTGTACATACACAGATATATACGCATAAACCATATATTTGCAAAGTGGGAGTAGTGCTGCTGTTATAAGGAGGAATTGTTGGTTGGTTGGTTTGTTGTTGTTGTTTAATTACATATTTTGTGTTTTTGTAATATTGTAATTTTATTATGTGAACTGCCCTGGGATCTATGGACAACAGGCGGTATGTAAATTTAAGTAAGTAATTAATAATGACCCACCATAGATTAGACTATAGGTTTGGCAATGGGTCCCGGCTCATTCGTTGAAGATCACTGATCTGTTCTGACTAGCAAAGTCGCTCTCCAAGGATCTCAGGGAGAGGATCTTTTCTGTCACTGACTTCCCTGACCATTGCAGAGGAGATGCTGAGGACTGAACTTCGCACCTCCTGTGCTCCGTCACTGCGCAATGGCTCTTTCCCATGCCCTACAGGCAGGGAAGATCCTTGCCAACATGTGTAAGCCTCTGATGGATGCGGGGTCTTCCTTACAAAACGTAACATCACCAAAAATTTGCTGGTGCTACAGCACTCTGGACGCACTTTTTAAAGGGTCCGGGAGATTCTGTTGGCTACAGATAGAGCTAAAGAAATTCTTCAAGGGTGCAGGACACGAAAGGATTCTTCAACTAGGATGGAGCAATTTTCACAGAGACAGCTGCTGTATAAAGCTGCAGCCCTAACCATGTCTACTCAGAGTAAAACCCTGTTCAGTACAATGGGGCTAAGAGGGGGTTAGGATTCCCAAGTAAGTAGAGTTAGTAACTGCAGCAAAATCAACATTGTCTTGTGTCACCATAAAGACCAACAAATTTATTACAGCATAAGCTTTTGAGAACTCTAGTCCACTTCCATCAGATCAATTAAATGTTTCCCTGATTCAGGCATAAATACAAAGCTGGGTGGAGTGTTGTGAAAGTGAGATCAGAAGGCAAGGAAGTGCAGAAGGTACAGACAGTGACAATTACAGTTGTTAACAGAAATCATTCACAGAGAATGTGCAAGTGATAATAAACACACTTTCTAGCATTGATTTTAGAGCTGGACAGTGCTGCTGGTGGAGACAGGATCATTTCTTATTTTAGTTTACAATGGAGTAACGGAAGCTTCGCTGTCTATCTTCAAGAGAAGCTGTGTTAGTCTGTGGCAGTAAGAAGATGCTGTCGCCACTGTCAAAAACTGTGTGTTTGTGTGTGTGTGAAATGTCCATGGGGATCACACATTCTGATATTGGAACCCTGTGCCCTTATTCCAGATGTGGGTGTGGTAAGCTGTAATTACTTTGTGCTGAGGTAAATGCAGTCTGTCCATGCTCAGAGGCACACTTCCCAGGGTCAGATTAATCCCTAGAGATCAGTGTTCTGTCTTCTTGTTGGGTTTTAGAACTTGCCAATATAAATTAATATTAATATTAATTATAATGGTTGTTGTATCTGACTAAATCACACCCAGAGTAGAACCATTTCAGAATGGAATCACTGAAATCGTGGCTGTTGATTATAATGTGATTTAGTCATATACAGTGTATTACTATTGTCTGCCAGCTCAGCTGGTAGAGCAGGAAACTCTTAACCTGAGGGTTATGGCTTTGAGCCCCACGTTGGGCAAAAGATTCCTGCATTGCAGGGGGTTGAACTAGATGATCCTCATGTTCCCTTCCGACTCTACAATTCTGTGATTCTAGATCCACTGAAATCAAGCTGGAAAGGATCTCTCATTATTCAATTGAAGTCAATGGGCCTAATCTGAGAATTTCTCTGCCACCTGTCCAAGTCTTAAGATGATTTGCAATAAACTATCGAGTCCATAATCTTTACAACAGTCCTGTACAGTAGGCCACTGTTGTTCTTTCCATATAAGAAGGGTGGGAGAGAGGCTGAGATGTAATAGCTTGCCTAAGACTGCCCAGTGAGCTCCAAGCTGAGCTGTAACCTGAACCCAAACTCCCAGTTAAATATCCCTCTTCTAACTATTAGACTCTGGTCGAACCAACTAACCTTCCTTTTTCTCCCACCCCCATTTCCGGCTCAGGATACCTGCTGAAGTTCCTCTTGGCTTGGGAGCCCTAATCAGGCTCAGTCACCATCAGCATCAAGGGAAACAACCCAACCAGGACCCACCCATGGAGAACCAGTCTTGGGACTTCTTTGGGGCTCCGTTGGGCAATGCCAGCGCCAACCAGACTCTTCTGGACAAGATGCCTCAGCTGCCCCTGGAAGTGCAAGTGGTGACCATCTTGCTGGTGCTGCTGATCTGCGGGGTGGGCATCGCCGGCAACGTCATGGTGGTGCTGGTGGTCCTCCGCACCAAGCACATGGTGACCCCCACCAACTGCTACCTGGTGAGCTTGGCCGTGGCCGACCTGATTGTGCTGCTGGCCGCGGGGCTGCCCAACATCTCGGAAGTGGTGGCCTCCTGGGTGTACGGCTATGCCGGCTGCCTGTGCATCACCTACCTGCAGTATCTTGGCATCAACATCTCAGCCTGCTCCATCACGGCCTTCACGGTGGAGCGCTACATCGCCATTTGCCACTCCATCAAGGCGCAGCTGCTCTGCACCGTGGCCCGGGCCAAGCGCATCATCGCCTGCGTGTGGCTGTTCACCTCTCTCTACTGCCTCATGTGGTTCTTCCTGGTGGACACGTCGCAAGTCCTGTTCGCCGACGGCACGCAAGTCAAGTGCGGCTACCGGGTCTCCAGGAACCTCTACATGCCCATCTACTTCTTGGACTTCACTGTCTTCTACATCATCCCCCTGGGCTTGGCCACTGTCCTCTACGGCCTCATTGCCCGCATCCTCTTCATGAACCCTCTGCCTGCCACCCCGCAGCACGCTGGCCGGCCGAGCAAACATGGCGGCTCTATCAGCACCTCCAGCTCCATGAAACTCTCCTGCCGGGGGAACAAGGGTGCTCTCAGCTCCAGGAAACAGGTCTTTCTTCTTAATGTTCTTCAGGGGTGGTTGCAAATGGAAGAGGTGTGTGGCAGGGATAGTGGGGTGGAGGCAGCTGTATCCCAGGACTTCAGAATCATTGGTTGGTATCTGGTGCGGTGCTAGCATTCCAACACTTCTCCAATGGAAATAGGGACGTCCTAGTCAATAATAATAATAATAATAATAATAATAATAATAATAGTGCCCCAGCCACTCTGGACCCCTCCCAACATATATAAAAACATAATAAAATATTAAACATATAACTCCATGTCCTGCAACATTTCTCCAATGAAAATAGCAACATCCTAAGGAAAAGCCTAGGAGATAAACAAGGATGCCATGACTGATTCCCCGGGTTTATTTTTAAATATAAAAACGAGCAGTTCTCTAGATTTGATCAGTTCAGTCTTGCTTCTTTTAGACTTCTTTTAGGATGATTTTTCCTGGTTATAGCCTTCATTGACTCCAAAGCAGTGTCATTATCTCAGGATGATTTATATTGCCTGTCTTAGGGAAGCTGGATGAAAAGGCCATTGAGATGCCATTACTGTTCCAGTTAACCGCGGCCAACCAGGTCATTTTCTGGTTAAAAAATTGAACGAGGTTGAGGAAGCTGCTTATATTGGTCTACCTGGCAGTGGCTCTCGAGGGTTTTAGGCAGGTGCCTCTTCCAGCACTACCTGAAGATGCTGAAGATTACACCTGGCAGTTCTTGCACAGAAAGCCAATTCTCTACCACTGAACTACACCTCTTCCCCTTCACTAGGAAAAAGGCCCCATTGAGCACCATGGGATTTCATTCCGAGTAAGCAACTATAGGAAGACCCTATGAAGATGCACTCCTCTGCTCACTTCCATTGTCAGTCATTTAAATATAATTAAGGACTTGACATGAGCCCTGGACTCCACTGAAATGGCAGGGTTCAACTCTGAAAGTGCATTTAGAAAGCTAGAGTTTTAAAACTGTATTCTTTCTTTCTTTCTTTGTTTATTGCGTTTATTAGTTCCCCTCCCCCCATGAAAAGTTTTCCAAAACGACTCACAACGGACAAAAACATAAATGGCCTAGTATATAAAAATAGAACAAAATGAAAGCCTAAAAACGCATCCATAATATATATAAAATGGCAGACCTGGCACTGCCCACCTGGCTAAAAGATCCTGAACATGTGCAAACCTTGTAGGGGTAAGGTTTTCTGATTGGTGTAGTCTCCTTAATAGTAATAAAATAGCAAAAGATTGTATTTATATAGCACTTCCTGTTAAAATGACAGGATTCTTAAACAGATAGGAAGTAATAATAATAGGGATATAATTTATGTGAAATGCTGTTATCCTTGCGACAACTCTGTAAAGTTTTATCTTAGTCATCGTGGTTGCAATACCCTCTAAATAGGTTATTGCTATTATTATCAGGGACGCGGGTAGCGCTGTGGGTAAAACCTCAGCGCCTAGGACTTGCCGATCATATGGTCGGCGGTTCGAATCCCTGCGGCAGGGTGAGCTCCCGTCGTTCGTTCCCAGCTCCTGCCCACCTAGCAGTTCGAAAGCACCCCTAAGTGCAAGTAGATAAATAGGTACTGCTTTATAGCGGGAAGGTAAACGGCGTTTCCGTGCGCTGCGCTGGTGCAGGCTTGCCAGAGCAGCTTCGTCATGCTGGCCACGTGACCCGGAAGTGTCTTCGGACAGCGCTGGCTCCCGGTCTCTTAAGCGAGATGAGCACGCAACCCCAGAGTCGGTCACGACTGGCCCGTACGGGCAGGGATACCTTTACTTTTACCTATTATTATTATTATTATTATTATTATTATCATCATTATTATTATCATCATCCCATGTTGCAGATTGTGAAGTCTGAGGAAGTAACTGAGTCTTCTCTAGGCCTCCTAATGAGCAGAAGTGGGTTTTTTTAACTCTGGAATTCCTAGTTTGCAGCTGCTATTACCTGCTCTTCTAAACTAGTAAGTCTCTGCTGGATTAAAATTACTCGCTCGGTGGCCTTGGGCCAGTCATTTTTGGTTAACCTACCCTACCTTACAGGATTATTTTGATGAGGGGTGCGGGAGAGAGATTACGTACACCATTCTGAGCTGCATGGATAAAACGTGTTGCCCTGCAACAAAATGTTGCAGTCTGCGCAAGATTGCAGTCACTATACCCGCCCCAGTCAAAATCCTGCTAAGGCTGAACACGTCGCAGGCCTGCAGTCAAAAGGGACATGGATTTTCTGCAGCTCATGGTCAAAGAGGAGAAGTGGTGCTTTCCTTAAAAGAAAAAGAAGAAGAAAGAAAAGGGGGGAAAGTGTGTGTGAGCAGCGGCAATTATTGTTGCCGTGTAATTGCTAATTATGCGCCTGATTAGGAGAGTGTTAGATTACACATTGCTTACCAGAGTGGCTCTCTCCGAGCTGAGATCATGTTTAATTAACTCCTCTAATTTGGGATCATTGCTGAGGCAGGAAAAATAAATAAATAACCCAGAGGAACAGCAGAAGAGCTTGATTTTCAGAGGGCCTTTCCAGACGGTTAACTGCTGGTTAAGTCTCTTTCTCAAGAATATACTGCTGTTATCACATTGTCTGTTTTCAGGGGGGGGGCAGGGGCAAGGCTATTTTCTTCACTGCCTCTACAGCACACCCATACTATACATTTAAAGCACATTTATAGCGCTTCAACAGTCATGGCTTCCCCAAAAGAAACCTGGCAGATGTTTGTTTACCCCTCACAAAGCTGCAAATTCCAGAATCCTTAACAAAACTTCAGGGGAAGTCGTGTACTTTATATGTATGATGTGGACATGACATAAACATTTTATTCGTCTGTGATTCTGGAAATAGTTTTCAAAGGCAGCGTAATCTGTGAGCCTTATTATTGTGGGTTTCTAATCAGGTTGCAGATTCTTAGTGATTTTAAAAGATGGAAAGCTGGGATGGAGCAGGTGGTTTTGCTGGGAATGGCCAGTTCAGGCCTACTACCTAAACAGTGTTTTAGCATTGATCCCATATGCAAAGAAGCTTGCAGGAGAGTCTTGCAAAGGCTGAAATATAGTTGGGATACATTTGTGCAGAAAGCCCCTAAAAACGAAAGTGGCATACAAGTAATACTAGTCTATACTTTTCACTTGCAGGTGCCCAACTGAATCTCTGAATGGTAATAATGGCAGTTTTTAGCCAGTAGGGGGAAGCCTTCCGCTTTCTCTTAGCATCTTTGTCCTGGTTCTATATTCCTCGTTATATCCCACCCCAAATTACCAGTTCTAAAGGGCAGCTTGGCAAAACAAAAATGTGTTTAGTATGGCAAGAAGTAATTTTTTATGCCATAAACTCAAGCTACGTCTGAGTTTTCTGTCCTTTGGGCTACAGTCCATAAGACCCACAATTAAGGCAATGTTCATTTTACTACAGTTGAGTTGGAAATACAGTACCTGATGGATTTAAATTGCCCCACGCAGGGTTCTTCTTTAAAGGGTCTGTAAATCACCTTTTTTTGAATGGAAGCTGCAAATAGAACATTTGTTGCAGATTTAAAATGATGGGATTTTATATTTGCTTTAACTGCAGCTGCGCTGCATGAAATGGCACTGTTGATGATAGTATTACGATACATTAGAGCCAGGGAGAGCATTCCGCTCGCTGCTGACAGCGGCAACACATGCAAAATGCACAAAGGCATGAAGACAGCCTTTGGACCAGCAGTCAGGAAAACTGCACCCCTAAAAACCTTGCCTGGAGAGATCATCACAGACCACAGCAAGCAGATGAAGCGATGGGCAGAACGCTATCAAGAACTGTAATTGCGGGAAAACGTGGTCCCTGTGCTCAGTGTTCAGACTCTGCCTGTCTTAGAAGAGCTGGATGTCCCTGCCTCCCTTGATGAGCAGAAGAATGCCATCAAATCCCAGGCATGTGTTGAAGCCCCAGGACAGGACAGGACCCCAACAGAAGTGCTGAAAGCCAGCCTCCACTCCTCCCTCATGATGCACATCCATGGCCTTCTCTTGCAGTGCTGAGAAACAGGATCCGTGCCACAAGTCATGGGTGACTCCGGCTTTGTGACCCTCTACAAGAAGAAAGGTGACAGTCCTGACTGGAATTCCCCTGCTGAGTACTGTGGGGAAGGCCTTCATTCATGTAGTTCTCAACAGATTATGGTCACTCACCAGCAGGGTATATTCCGAGTTACAATGCAGCATTAGAGATTAGAGGTCAACAGTCAACATGGTTTCCTCACTGCATCAGTTGCAGGAGAGATGCTGAGAGCAGAGGTGCCCCTTGTTCATCGCCTTCATAGATCTGTTGAAGGCCTTGGACCTTGCCAGCTGAAAATGACTCATCACACTGCCCAACAAGATAGGATGTGCAGAAGATGGTTGTGTCCTTCCATGAGAACATGCACGGCACAGTCCAGTATGACCAGAGGAGAAATGACTGCTGGGAGGAGGGCAGAATGAAGAAATGCTATGGTACACCTGCACCAGCCCTAGCAGATGTCTTCACCTGTTTCAACATGTCTCTCCCATATCGGTCTCTACAGCCACGGCAGGCGATGTAACTCTACAATGGTTTGACTTCCCCTCCTGAAGGCGTACTCTTGCATTGTCTCCCAAGACAGACAGATGCCAACCAAACAGGGCTGGGGAGACTTGTGGCCCTCCAGATGTTGTTGGACTACAATTCCCATCATCCCAGGCCACTGGCCATGCTGGCTGTGGCTGATGGCCATTGCAGTCCAGCAACATCTGGTGTTCACAAGTTCCCTCTTCCTTGTTGTAAATCTTCAGTGTGCTCACTTGATGGATGAAATGTGCTCGATTCCCCAAACTGGTGGTCTGCAGATGCTACACCTCCTCAAACAGCATGGCTGTTGGAGTCCAAAATACCTGGAGGGCTCCATGTTGGGGAGAGCTATCCTTTGTTGTTGTTGTTTAGTCATTTAGTCATGTCCGACTCTTCGTGACCCCATGAAGGCACTCCTGTCTTCCACTGCCTCCCGCAT